AAAAAAAAGAACTTAAATCTAAAAACCTAAATAATAAAAACATCAAAAAAATAAACTATTTACATCATTGTCAGAAGTGCTCTTATTAGATTTCGTTCAGTAAAAATTAAATGAACCAGTTAGGTTTGTTACCAGAGTCTTTTTAAATTCACTGTTTCAAACTCTACTCTTTCTCGTCCATAGTTTGTTCCGGTTTCCTGAACACTTCTGTCTCTTGACGTCTCGGAACTTTTCCATTAGCTACCAGTTGAGAATCTGTGAACCACATCAGCACTTGGTATAGTTGACTCGAACAGTCGCAACTATTATTTGTCGTCCTTGTGAAAGGTCTTGGCTTCCACATGCCACCCAGATACACCTGTCCTGTGTTGATGTTTTCTTGGTTATAATTTTCCTGCAAAACGACATCGAAATTTATTCATTTCACCCATGCTCCACAAACATTCCTCCATCCCTCCATCGACAGCCAATCATGACCCATGTACCACCATCTTTGGCTATTTATCAACTTCACCCCTGCTCAACAAACCTTCTTCCATCCCTCCGTCGACAGCCAATCATGACCCATGTACTACCATCTTTGGCTATTTATCAACTTCACCCCTGCTCAACGAACATTCTTCCATCCCTCCGTCGACAGCCCATCATGACCCATGTACCACAATCTTTGGCTATTCATCAACTTCACCCCTGCTCAACAAACATTCTTCCATCCCTCCATCGACAGCCAATCATGACCCATGTACCACCATCTTTGGCTATTCATCAACTTCACCCCTGCTCAACAAACATTCTTCCATCCCTCCATCGACAGCCCATCATGACCCATGTACCACCATCTTTGGCTATTCATCAACTTCACCCACACTTCACAAACATTCTTCCATCCCTCCATCGACAGCCTATTATGACCCATGTACCACCATCTTTGGCTCAACTGATTCCACTCCCGTCCATGTCAATCATCGTGAACTTTTCCGTTCACTTTACTGTGTAATATTCTCGCCTCTTCAACGTTCTGGTAGTTCTCTTTTCCACAGATACTGATCAGGTCTTTTAAGTCATTATTCACGTCTTCTTTTCTGGTAGCTGTAGTGTTCACTTGACAATATTTCCGAGTCTTCTAATTCCTCAATAAATAACACGTCTTTCCTTTATACTGGTAACAGTCTCTCGTATTGTTTGGTATCTTAATTGTCTGGTTCATTTTCTTCGCAGTGATCTGTTATAATCTTTTACAGTTTTCGTAAATTTATCTTACAAATTAAATTAATTAAGCAAACGAAAAAATATATATAGTCCCTCCCTCCCCTGTAGTCCCCCGCTAAATTAATAAGCGGTTCTGAAGAGAAGTGCGTCTGCGACACGCACAAAAAATCTTTTCATCTGTCGGTAGCGTCCAATAAAGCCAGTATTCAGCTTGTTTTTAAGTTCTTCGTTCTGCAAAACACATAAAAGAAAAAAAGACAATTCAGTTTCAAGATACACTCGCAGAGATCAAAATATCGGAGCTAGAGTATGGAACTTTCAGCGTCAGTCGGCTTAGTGTTAGAGTCACGCTTTCATTTTTGTTTTTTCTGTCACGCTCGAGATTTGTTTTCACTCTCTAATTGGCGCAAAAATTCAAACCTTAATTCGGGACATAACACGAATTCTTTTTTTCTCTCTTTTTTTCCTCTTCTTTTTCACAGTATGAATTCTACAANGAAGAGAAGTGCGTCTGCGACACGCACAAAAAATCTTTTTATCTGTCGGTAGCGTCCAATAAAGCCAGTATTCAGCTTGTTTTTAAGTTCTTCGTTCTGCAAAACACATAAAAGAAAAAAGACAATTCAGTTTCATGATACAGAGATCAGAATATAGGAGCTAGAGTATGGAACTTTCAGTGTCAGTCGACTTAGTGTTAATGTCACGCTTTTATTTTTGTTTTTTCTGTCACGCTCGAGATTTGTTTTCTCCCTCTAATTGGCGCAAAAATTCAACCTTAATAAACCTTAATTCCGGACATAACACGAATTCTTTTATTCTCTGTCTTATTTCTCTTTTTTTCCTCTTCTTTTTAACGGCATGAATTCTACAAATTCATTATTGCTGTACATCTTCAGTTATGTTTGTAATTCTTTTCAGAAAGTGAATAGTCTTACGCTACGCAGAACTGTTTCGTAACTAATGTATATGTAGATGTTATACGGAATGAGACGTTTTTCTAGATGTAGTAAAATTTCCACCCGTAGTAAGTTTTGATTCTATTTGCGATCACAATATCTATATCTTAAAATGGATCCATATAGGTGTTCTCAGCAGTTCATTTTTTCTCGATCAGATTCTGTCAACAATCTGTCAAGTTTGGCCAGGGGAGTTACCAATATTAAAGCCGAGATTACAAAGAAAGTCATGGTATTTTGACAAGCTACTTACTTCTTCCTCAAGTATGTCAATAGTCCTGAAAAAAAATCAGATCAACAGTTTATTATCACTATTCAACAATTTACAGAAGATTCACTCGCTCTATGTATGTTTTTTTAATTCCTTTTCAAGGCATAGATGTTGATAAAGAATCCTCCATAACAAAATCACATCTCACTTCTACGTATTTAAAAGTAATTACCAAGACTTATAAGCGGCTGTACTCTCTTGTATCTGCAAATATCAACTTATTTCTCTCAAGTTATACAGCTATGTGTAAGTCTAAAGAGCACAAACAAAGATGTTGTTGTTGTTGTTGTTGCTGTTTTGTTGTGGTAAGAACTAGACTCTCAAGAATTCTAAGAATTGCATTAACTTTCCTTCATCTGTTTTACAAACCATAACAGAGGTCAGTACTTACTCTCTCATTTCTGCCTTCTCTTCTTTGTTGGCCTAAAATTGGAGAATATCACG